CAACATATGTGATGAAATTAAGATTAAAAAATTAATTCTTATATTTCGTTTTAATTTATCTTATTTCTATAAATATCCAAACATTGATAAAAATTTGAATATTTTATTTATAAAAATAAATTTAATTATAATAATATAAAAAATTTAGTTATAGTAATTTTTATTAACATTATAATTAATTTTCCATTCATTCTAAAATCATTAATATTATAAAATTAATTTTTGAAAATTTTATTTACCTTAACTAAAAAATAAAAAATTCATTGAAATAACATAGTTTACCGTTAACATTTTAAATTTACAAAAAATTTTTTTTTAAAAAATAATAATTTACTATAGTGAACAGTTTATTAGAAAGAAAGTTTAAAACAATTTACGTAATACATCAGTTTCTTTTTTTTTAGATAAATTGAAAATAATTATAAGAATAAAGGTATTTATTATAAATATTGTTTTAAACAGTGTTCCAATGAGACATAAAAAAATAAGAAATGAAACAAACACTTCAATTACTTTAGTTTATATACGATTAAAAACTGTACATACAGTAGATTGGAAAATTCTCGATAGAATCTATGTATTACTGATACTAAGATGGCACTCTTATAAAGGCAGACTACATAAAAGCAAAAAAGGAATGCAGTTATTCGTATCTGATTCGCTTGTTATAATATTACTATATAATTGATTTGAATGTAAAATTTTCAGCTAATAACTATTTTTTTCCATTGGATTTATTAAAAATAACTAATTGAATTTGTATTTTTTCCGAATATTTTTTTTATATTTTTCTACTTATAAATAATTCTTACGATAATAGTATCGAATAATTTAATAATTTTATAATAATATATTATCTAAATTTAATATAAATATTATTTAATTTGTTTATTTTAATTTTTGTATTCTATACATAATTTTGTATTAATAATTATAATATTGTAATTTTGTATTTTATATATATTTTAATATATAAACTATATGTAACTATAAACAAATATAACTAAATCATTGTATCTCTATTTTCTTATTTTATGTTATAATATTCGAAGAATATTGATAAAGTATTTCCCGCCAATATTTTTTATATAGTATTGAATGTTTATATTTTACTAAAATCAATAAAAAATTAAGTCAAAATGGAAGGATTTGATGATCCAGGAATATTTTTTTCTGATAACTTTTCAGTAAATGAATCTAATGATACTCAAACAAATCTTCAATTTTCAAAAAAAAAGTTTATGGAATTTATTAGACAATTTCATGAAGGAAATTTCAATTATAAATATAGGTATTTAAATAAGTTATAATTTTCCAATACATAAATATTTAATTAAAAATTATATTTTAAACAGTATATTTTAAAATAATATTTAATATAATATTAAAATAATATACATAATATAATATTCAATATATTTTATTAATAATATAATCTTTCAGAGATATCTTAAAACGTAATTATAATTTGAGTCAATATTGGATAGAAATTAATTTAGAAGATTTAGCAGCTTTTGATGAATCACTGGCAGAAAAAGTATATAAGCATCCAACTGAATATTTACCTATTTTAGAAGAGGCTGCTAAAGATTTAGCAGATGAACTTACAGCTCCAAGGCCAGAAGGCGAAGAAAAAGTTGAAGACATACAAGTTTTATTATCTTCAGATGCACATCCAAGTTCCTTAAGAGGAATCAAAGTAAGACTTAATTTGAAATTATTTACTTTACTTAAAAAAAAAAAATGTTATATAGAGAATTAAAACTTATATAGTTTATTGTTATATAGTTTATTGTTCTAGTTTATAATCACATTATTTTTTTAGCCTGATGCAGTTTCTAAACTTATTAAAATACCTGGTATTATTATTTCGGCATCTGGAATTAGAGCAAAAGCAACAAAAATTGCTATACAATGTCGTTCTTGTAGAAGTATGCAAAGTAATATTTCAATTAAACCTGGTTTAGAAGGATATGTTTTACCTAGAAAATGTACAACAGAACAAGCAGGACGACCAAAATGTCCACTGGATCCATTTTTTATAATGCCAGATAAATGTCACTGTGTTGATTTTCAAGTTCTCAAATTACAAGAATTACCAGATCAAATTCCACAAGGTGAAATGCCAAGACATTTACAATTGTATTGTGATCGTTATTTATGCGATAGAGTTGTACCAGGCAATAGAGTTCTTATTTTGGGTATATATTCAATTAAAAAAGTTACTAAAACTACTGGTAATAGAGGAGGAAAAGATAAAGCATTAATTGGTGTTCGAGCGCCATATATAAGAGTAATTGGTATTTCTATAGATGGAGAAAATACAGGCAATGGTAAAATTACATATATAATTATATATATATAAATTTTTTATTTTATTTTTATGATTTTTAGGTTCTCATTCTTGTGTTACAAATGAAGAAGAAGATTTATTTAGACGTTTTGCATCAGATTCTAATTTATATGAAAGAATTGCAAGAAGTATAGCTCCTAGTATTTTTGGTGCATTAGACATAAAAAAAGCTATAGCTTGTTTATTATTTGGTGGTTCTAGAAAAAAAATGCCTGATGGTCTTTGTAGAAGAGGAGACATTAATATTTTAATGTTAGGTGATCCTGGTACAGCTAAATCACAATTATTAAAATTTGTAGAAAGAATTGCACCAGTTGCAATTTATACATCTGGGAAAGGAAGTTCAGCTGCAGGTTTAACAGCATCAGTATTAAGAGATCCCATAACAGTAAGTTATTAATAATTTCCATAAGTAATATATTTCTTATTTCATTTTTATTAAAATATTTAATAAAATTAATTTTATTAATAAATTTAACTTTTAGAGAAATTTTGTTATGGAAGGAGGTGCTATGGTTCTTGCAGATGGTGGTGTTGTCTGTATAGATGAATTTGATAAAATGAAAGAGGATGATAGAGTTGCAATACATGAAGCTATGGAACAACAAACAATATCTATTGCAAAAGCAGGAATAACTACAACATTAAATACTCGTTGTTCTGTTTTAGCAGCAGCAAATTCAATATTTGGACGTTGGGATGATATAAAAGGAGAAGAAAATATTGATTTTATGCCAACAATTTTATCACGTTTTGATATGATATTTATTGTTAAAGATGAACACGAATTAAATAAAGATGTAACATTAGCAAAACATGTAATGAACATTCATTGCAATGCTACACAAGTTACGGAACAATCTGCTGAAGGAGAATTGCCATTGCATATTTTAAAAAAATACATTCATTATTGTAGAACGTAAGGTTATTCATTATTTTAAAATATTTAATTTATTTTTTATTAATTTATATAATTTTTACAGTCAATGTGGTCCAAGACTAAGTAAAGAGGCAGGAGAGAAATTAAAAAATCGTTATGTTGTAATGCGAGCAAATACTAGAGAACATGAAAAAGACACAGAAAAAAGATTATCCATTCCTATAACAGTTCGTCAGTTAGAAGCTATTATAAGAATTTCGGAATCTTTAGCTAAAATGCAATTGCAATCTTTTGCTACAGAAATTCACGTGAATGAAGCACTTAGGCTTTTCCAAGTATCTACTTTAGATGCTGCAATGTCTGGATCATTAGCTGGTAATCTAGAATGAAATCAATAATATGTTTTGTTTTTTATTATACTATTTTTTAAAAATTTAGGTGCAGAAGGATTTACCTCGGATGAAGATCATGAAATGTTATCACGTATTGAAAAACAATTGAAACGTAGATTTCCTATTGGGAATCAAGTATCAGAGCAAAATATTGTTAAAGATTTTGTAAAACAAGCATATCCAGAACGTGCTATTTACAAAGTTATACATACAATGATACGACGTGGGGAACTTCAACACCGTATGCAACGTAAAATGCTATACAGATTACACTGAAATGTAATGACATTTTATATTTGCATTTTAATGATATATTTATTATTTATTATATATAGTTTCCATATTTTGTCCATATTTCATTCATTTCAATATATAAATATGTATATATTTAAACTACATATTAATCTTTTTTTTTTAATTAGGATTGTAATTCATCCTTAAATGGATAATGTGGATGATTCTCAACCCTAAAGCAAATCAGATAAAAGAATTTTATATTTTTATATTCTTTGGAATGAAGTATTTTTAATAAATATATTTACCCCTTAAAAAACAAAAAATTAAAAATTCTTCCACGTGGACCTTTGTCTAAAGTACTTAAAAGTTTTGTTTCTTCTTCTTTTAATGAAAAATTAAATAAGTCAATATTTGTTTTCACTCTTTCTAAAGATGAACTTT